AAGGAAAAAGAGGTGGCGCGTAGACATACCGGACTAAACGGCCTAGATAGAGCACTATTTACCGTTAATGCTTTCCATAAAGGAAAAAGAGGTGGCGCGTAGACACACCGGACTAAACGGCGGGTAAGTAAGGTCTTCTTAAACAGATCAAAGAGGTGGACGCTCTATAGTAGGTAGGCAAGGTCTTCTTGAACAGATTAAAGAGGTGGACGCTCTATAGGTAGGGCTAAACCTCTAAATTTTATAGATAAAGGTACAGGATAGGCCCATATCGGGCTTTCGCTACGATAGCCTCTACATTATTACTACAGCGGAACTGGTCAGGATCGAGCGCCAGTACGGCCTTACACTACCTTACGATTAAAACGGTATACAAGAAGTTCCGAGCCATCTAACCGAAACGACTAAATTATAAGCTTAGTTATCGCCTAAAGGTAGAATAGGATTCCCGTTATAAGGCTATATTATCTTTAAAGCTTACTATTACCCCGTAGACGAATATTAATCAAGCTCCGGATATCATAGACGCACCCGAATTCAGTAATTAGATCGAATTAATTAGCTTTAGATACACCGCCTCACTAACTTCATTTTCCTTCAACTCTAAAATACAATATATATCACGAAGAATACTATGTCTAGTACTAGACGGCCACCTAAGAGAGGTAGACCCCTATCGACAGACGACACAGTAGACCTATCTACCCAGCGCCGACGCCAACAAGACCGTATCCGTTAGTAGAGGCTTCGACAGAGACGACGACAGGAAGCTACCCAACCACCAGCTCCCGGACAATAAGCCATCGAATCCATTATTAAACACCCTTTTGACTTTCCTAATCCTACTCCTACTTCACCCGCTACTGGCTTACGCGTATAAGGTCAAGATTTCGTCCAGGACATTACAGATGCTACCCGCTAAGTTACCGCCCTCGACATTAACGAACATCAAGCCCTCTACCTTAAAAACCTACCGCGGCTACAACCAGTACCTCCATCCCCTACTCAGAGCCCACGTCGCACCAATAGTCATAGATATCGCGAACCCCTCGATACACCACTACGCCCACCGTAAAGACCATCACTCAGCCAGCGACAGATTCACTACTATACCGCCTCACCGCGCCCATATTCGGGTACACCCCAGTCCTCGAGCCATCGATCCCCCTCTACTCTATCTACGCCGTCCGCACTCCCTCGTATACACCCACCATCGCGACACACTCGCCACCACCAAGACTATACGTCGGTCTCGAGCGACAGCGAATCTGAACATGAAGATTACGGGAGCAGTACTCGGGCGAAGCTACTAAGGCCTCAGACCGATACTAAGACCACGAATTACCTAAACCGTACATCTACGCCCTCTACAGGGGTACCTCTACACTTAACTACGACTCACGCGAGAGCCTATACCTCTACTCACTTCTCAAGCCACTCGCCCGCGTCGCTAGTATCTATCAAAACTACGGCCGTAATCCGCCCTCTCCTACCGTCGTCGTCCTCTTAAGGTACACCGTCCGTATATACTTCGGCTAGAGTCAATATAGACTCTCCGATTATCTCCAGCCCAATTACGATACGTACATCGACTAGAGTTTCATCCCCACTCCCCGTACCGAGAGTACATCGTACGCCGCGACGATCTTAATATATCTTCGGAGACACCCCCCCCGAACTCTTCGACTTAGACGCGTCGACCCCTCCTGAACTTATTAACCCTCCTTCCTAGACCCCCTCCGAGTTACTCGACTCTGACGACGTAGAAGGACTCTAATCCGAGCAAGAGGTAGCCAGTTAAGAGGAGGACATCCCGGACGAGGATAGTCTTTATAGTATCAGACTCGAGAGCGATGATAACGAGTAAGACTACGTAACCTTTACCGCTGAGAAGCTCCTGACCTAGTTCCATTTTAAAGGGCACTACGGATATACGGTCGAGAAACACGCCTCTCTCCTCCAGCAGTACGAGGAGGCCGTCGGAGACTAGAAACACCACGATCTACTCTCTTATTTCCTACGCGCCCATTTCCCCTCGGTCATTCGGCTAGACTACGACATCGACCAGCTCCTGACTCGTGACTAGGCGTAGGGCGATTTTACACCCTCGGCGGTATAATGGGAAGAAGCTATCTACGGTACTAGTCCCCATTAACCCTTCCCGTAATATATCTGCCTCTATATATATACTACCCCCTCTACGGATCCCGAGGTCTCATCCGACATCGACAGCTTCCTCGGGTTCGCGACGTCACTCGCGTTCGCCCGGGGCGGGTTTAACGTCGAGCTCGTACTACGCGTATACCGGAACATCACGACCGACGTCTATATCACTAGTACCTCGTACCGCGAGGTTCCCGTCCCACCTCGGGAGGAGGACCGCGACGAGGACGAGGGCGACCCTCTACGCCCCCGGGCCACCGCCACCCTCCTCCGCGACATCCCTTACTTCTTCGCCGGGCGCCTCTTTAACGCTCGCGACATCGAGGTCTACTTCCTCTTCCCGCACCTCCCGGTCGACGGGGAATTTATCGGATTAAAGCAGTAGTAGTTACACCGCTAGTTCGACCGCATCTTCCTCCCGGCCCTTACATCTATTGCCCCCGCGTACATCCTCTAGTACATCCCTAGGTCTCTCCGGTAGGCATAGGCTAACTCGGTCGCGGCGTAGGTCGAAGGGCGTAAGGCCACTACCAGTAGCTACTAGAGTGCCTAGGCCATCTACTACACCCTCTAAGCCCACCTCCTCGTACCCCTCTAGTCGGCTATCCTCGAGTTAATCGAGTTACAGCCCGGCCTCCACGACTTTCGCGACCCCTAGATCTTCTTCAGTACTAAAGGGACTAAGCTCGCCTTTAAGAGTCGCTCTAGTAACACCACGAGCGTCCTCGACGCCCTCCGAGAGTAGAATACTTGGATCTAGGGAGTCCTACAATGGGAGTACATCGACGAGGACCAGCTGTACCTCGACCTCGGGTAAGAGATCTATGTTCCCCGGGCCTCGACCGACTCGAGCATCTCCCCCACCCCCACGACGTACCTATGGCGGCGGTGTTACCTCGAGTCGTACATCCGCTGGCTCTACTAGGAAGAACGTAAGACCCCGTCGTACTAGGGGTCGGGTGCTCGGTTCTATACGCAGTCTATGCTCCGCGACGCCGTCTCCGTCACGAGTATCCCCCCTAAACGGTCGCGGCTCTACCGGGGGGGTATTCACTACATCCAGAACTACAACTCGGTTAAGGAGGTATTTAACGCTAATAAGCGCATGCCCTTCGATAACGACGCCGTCGAGGAGCTGGCGGTCGACCCCTTAGTTAGTGACACCGCCCGTACCCTAGCCGGGGGGCGTCCCCGCGAGCGGCGTATCCTACGCCGGGCGTATACGCAGAGTCGGTACCGCGCCCGCGTTAACCTACACGACAACCGCCGTAAACACTACGGCATCCGGTAAGAGGCGCGCATCACCTACGCGTGCGCGGTCGCCATGATGGACATCCTCTATACGCACCTCCCGCCCGCGACGCGCCCGCGGCCCCCTTGAGGCCACCCTCCGTACGTCTGGACGATCCCTACGCTAACCTACTTTCGCTTCCTCCGCCACTACATCAACCGGTTCGCCCTCGGCTTCGAGCTCGTCTACGCCCGCGCGCTCCCCTACGCAACTACGTGGGAGTAGACTAAGATGATGACTATGTTCCTACGCTGTCTTCGCTTCGCCCTCGGCGGGCAGTAGCTCTCCCGGGAACCCGCCCTCTAGTAGGGGCGACGGGACCTCCCCCGGCGCGAATCGCGCGTCGACGTCGGCGACCTGGACACGGACTACCGCCGCAGCTAGGTCGGCCTCGGATTCTATTATACCCTTCCCCGCTACGGATTCTACTGGGTCGAGCCGCGGATCGACTAGACCCGCCTCGAATTCCACCGGGACATCACCGACCTCGTGACCTTTAGTAACTCGGCCCTGCGAGACCTGTACGTCCGCCGCGGTAGTGCCGTCCGTAACTTCTTCGACCACGAGCGGCGACTCGACCTCGCCCTCCGTCTCCTTAAGGAATACGTCGACTACGTCTTCATCGCCCAGCGTCTCCTCTAGTAGACGGTACACATCTGCCTCGAGTAGTTTCGGATCGACACCCTCTATACGGTCGAGCACGACATCCTCCCCGACTACGTCGAGGAGGCCCTATAGAGCCCGGGCCCCTTCTACTACGAATACTTTCGCCGCATCATGTCGACTAAGCGCATCTATACCGTCACCGGTAATAAATCCGACTTTAAGGACCCCCGCCGACTCGTACAGTACCTCTTCGACTGGGACGACGAGTTCGTCCGGCTCTACTAGGACTAGAAGCCCTACCGCACCCTCTACCGCCGCGCGTACACTCGACTCTCCTACGCCCCCTTCGCCGCGAACTATCACCGCCGGTACTTTACGCGTACGCACATCCGGTACCTCTTCAAGTAGTACTGGCTCTTACCCTACCCCTACCGGAACGGACTGACCTAGAAGACTAAATAGAGTGCGCGCATATAGTACTCCATCGACCTCGTAGCCGCCGATTTCGACACCATACCTACGCCCGACATCCTCCATCGCGTCGAACCCGATAAGTAGGTATAGCTCGGGGCCCGTAACAAACGGACGCACTAGCTCTACCGCCCGGGATGGACGGCCGACCTCCTAGAGTGGATTTCCTGGATACCGACCTAATGGTCCGAGTAGGTCGATATATAGGTACGCCGCATCACCGAGACGGAGTGACCGCCGAGGACGTACCCTCACTAGGGGACTCTCCAGCATTATATACATATACGAACTATAATCATCTACGATTCGTTCTACCCCTCCCTCTCTCTACGTCTATCCATACATCATCTCCGGGCGGCGGTAAGAATAGGCTATAGAATGGATCCGCTGCGTATCTCTCCCCTCCTTCCCCTTAGATCCATTCTATAGCCTATCTACCGTAACTACCCGTATCGTAAGCCGGTCCGGATCCCGACCCTCGTCGTTCTACGCCTCGAGGCTATATACGCTATAGAGGCGACACTACGATTACCGAGACCCCACCGCTGATCTAATTTCCTGTCTTTCATTCCCATATCTTACCCATCCAGCTAAACCTGAACCTCTAAAACTTCCGGCTTCCGCGCCGTAGATCTTATCTATCTCGCGAAAGCTTATCTCGGCCGCGACCTATCGAGGATAGACACTATTGTTAAGTAAGCGCGACCGTGAACCGCCCATCACATTGTTACTCGCCCCGATTCCCATGACGCCTCGCCCGGTATTGATCTAAAACCCATTTCTACACCGTTGTTCCGTTTATGCCTACTACCCCGGTTGTAGAAAACACGCGCGTCCGTACAGGATCTACCATCCCCGTGAATATGGAAACCCATTACTTACTTTAAGAAGAGCATTAGGTGACGGCCTTAGTACCCTCTGACACGGCGTGCCTGGTAAGTTCCGGCAGGAGGTCATTACTTACTTTAAGAAGAGCATTAGGTGACGGCCTTAGTACCCTTAGGCATAGTATGCCTAGTAAGTTCACTTAGTAAGTTCACCTGGCCGGATTAATCTGACGGATGCTTAGATCTCGCGGGATAAGATGGTGGACTTCTTGTAAGTAGTAAGCTTAGAGGCTTCGATGGCGCCGCGATCGAGGATGTCTAATGGTATACACCGAAATCTATGTTAGTTAAGGACCGCGATATAACTTACCGTCGACGACCCGTACACGACGCCATCGCGAACGTACTTACATCTAGTACTACCTAACCAGTCTGGTAGAAGGGATGGTAGTACTAGTGGTAGGTAGAATCCGGGGTCGGGTACCCGTAGACCTATAATTTACCCTAGAATTTCCCTATATTCCCCCAGTCCGCGCTGATTCGTTAATCATAGACGTATCCTCTTTATATATCCTAGACGTCTCCGCCTCCGAGGCTCGCGCATTAAAGATTAGCCGTTAGTGTCAATTAGGGTGTGATATACGTCTATTATTCCATGGTACGGCTTAATTACATAAGACCTATCTAAGTCGGCCTCTACCGACTAGAGCTTACATAATGGACTGAATGTCTAACCTAGGAAGTCCTGGCATCGGCTCATAAGACCTCGCAGAGTTAGAGTAAATAGGCTGTAGAATGGATCTAACAGCTTGTCACCTCTTCAGTTATAGTCAGGTAGTCTGTAGACTGGATCTATCTCGCTCCAGGGTGTAGTAGAATTCACCTCTACCTCACCTACCTAGTTGTCGACAACACTTGGCGTCTTTCGCCGTCGCGAATCTATCTCCTACTTTTTAATCTCTCTTCTCTCCTCTCATACTTTCCCAGGACAACCCTTCTTAACTTCATCTAAATCGCTCCATTTTCCTGTGTAAACGCTGTCTAATCCATCAAGAGAGTCCAGCACAGGCTCTGCCTGACCGTAGCCCAGCCGAGACGCCCTTTTTAGCGCTAGCGACGCTAGATTCGCGCGCCGGCGACAGATTCTGTATGACAGCGGCTAAAATCTCACCCAGAAGTCAGTGTTTGGCTCACTGGATCTAATCTACAGCCCATTTACCCTCTCCCTCTCTTATCTACTACCTACCTCCAGCCTCCAGTGGATCCATTCTACAGCTAATGTCTTCTCTTCCCTAGTCTACTAACTACCCTAGTGGATCCATTCCTTGCCGCCTTTTACTAGGCTTCCGCGATTTTGAAACTCTAAGAGATTCATCGAGGATCTCCTTTTTTAACCTTTTTTTTTTGTTAGTTTAGCACTGGCAGCGAGGTGGTTCCATTCTATATCGCACCTTACTAGGTTTCTGTAACTTCGACCATTTATGAGACCCTTTCAAGATCTCATCCTAACCCTTTTTTATATTAGTTTAGCACTGGTAGGGAAGAGGATCCGTGGAAGTTCCATGTTCCATCCCTTTTCACTCGCAACGGTCTATAGAATGGATCCATTGGATTTCCAAGATTGACGCCTCCTGACCTACAACGGCCTAGGGACTGGATCTACGCACCATCTCTCGTTTTTTTGTTTTGCCGTGCGACTAGTATATAATGGGCTATGGAATGGATCCATTCCACGGCCCATTTGATTAGCGTCTATCCCGCGCCCCTTGACTCATTGGATCTAACCTACAGACTATTTTGACTGACTCGAGCTGCTCACAGGAACTGAAAACCCCATCGTCACTATGGTACCCCGCCGCAAGCGCCGATCCGGGACCTCCAGCTCCTCCGAGGCGGAACCTACGAAGCGCCCTAAGACCGAATTAAAGACCGCGCTGGAGGCACGCGTCGTACATGTCGAGCAGAAGGTTACCAGAATCAAGAAAGCGTATGAAGACCTACCAAGAACTAAAGGTAATAAAGACCGCGCCGCTCAGCTCAAGGAGAAGTATAAAAACACTAAGGCCGCCCTGGAAGAGTTGCAAGAACGACTGAAAAACACCGAAGAAGCCACTAACTAGTCTGACCTGTCTAACCAAGAGAGCCCCCTAAAGAGCACGACTAAGAAGAGCACTACGAAGAGCACGACTAAGAGCACCAGTTATATGGACCTTACCGGCGCGGACGATGGCGAAGCGCAATCCCCGGTACCAGTATCGAAGGCCACGGATAAGGGTAAGCAGCGACAGTCCGAGGCTAAGTCCGCCGTGTATGTCGAAGACTCCGAGGGCGAATCGGACAGCGGCCTCGACCTAGACCCTAAGACAGCTCGCGACAAGGCTATCGCCCGTAACGCCAGGAAGCAACAGAAAGTACAGGACAAGAAGACGGTGGAGGACTTCGGCTTTACGGACCGCGCGACCGCTATCGCCGCCATGGCCTACAATTTCTATTAGTATCGGATTATCGAGCCCGAGCGAAAACTATAGCGTAACTAGGCCTACATCGCCGGGTACCTAGGCTTACCTAACACCTAAGAGCTCGGCCGGGTGGTCGAGGCCTTGAAACCCACTATCTAATCCTTCCTAAAACATAAGCGGGTGGGCTTTAGTGTGCCCGGCGTGGTCGCTACGTCTACGTTCGCCTACGATAAGATTGTTAAAGAAATCGCTAAAGGCGATAAGGCCCCTCATAGCTGGAGACAACTAGCCGATGTCAGCGTTACGGAACCCCTGTCCCTCGAGGACCCCTACTTCGCTAAATTCGTGGGCCCGACCAAGAAGAATAAGAGCATCTTCCCTAAGGCCGTCTACGTGGCCTAGACATACAAGATCATCAAGAAATGCCGCGGCCTCTTCAAGGAGTCCTTTAACAAGGCGAAGCCCGGACAGATCCGATGGGGATTCGCCACCGCCGAGGACTTCCATCGCGCCTTCGTCCTACTGCGGTTCGCGGTCGGGTGTTACGAAAAATAGACCCTACCTATCTTCGGTAATAAGACGGCGGCCCCGGTGCGCTACTTAACCGATGAGGAATTCGCCCGCATATCCATCGACCCGGCTACCGCGGCTAAAGCCCAGGACGTATAGAACCTCAAAGACTAAGTCACTCTCTTATGGGGGGACAAGGAATACCCCGAGTACGATAAGGTGGAACGGATTAATATAGCCACTCTCATCCTTAAAGATGAGACCCTAGATTAATTAGCCGATGACAACGACTGCATCGCTCGCAACATCGAGCGACTCTCTAAGTCATCTAAGAAGAAGGTGAGTTTCACTCGTCTATAGAATGGATCCGTTCGCTTAACTCCAGATTACCCGGCTAACGGGCCGTAGAATGGATCCGCTGGACATCCTAACCACTGGATCCATTCTACGGCCCATTCGCCTAGACTGTCACTAACTAGCCGAGAGGATCCATTCTACGGCCCCCTTTTACTCGTTAGTACGTTACGTCACTGACTACCTTCTTTCTAGGGCGCGACCGACCGCGTAGTTCGACCTCTACTGGACGAAGAAACACTTAAGTACTTCTTACTATCGCTGATCGACTAATGTGACATTGTCCACGACTCGTTCACCACGACCTTACCGGGAGACTCTACCCAGTAGAGTAAGGACCTCTCTATAGCCGAGCGCGTCGCCCCCGAGAAGTACTAAGACCCGATGAAACCCGCCGTCCTACACCCTGCCGAGAAGGAGTTTTAGGACCTGCGGGCGAAGACGTCGACAGTCTATACGCCGGTCAAAGGCTATCGCGAGGCGGCCTAGGTCTTAGGCATCGACCCCGACTACCGCAAGTTAGATAAGGGCATCTACACTCCGCCCACCGATAAAACCGACCCTACGCCCTTTTACCCTAAACACTACTAGGTCATCGGCACGGTATAGTAGATGGACATGAAAGAGTGCCCCTACGGTGGCGGCCTAGTCGCTAAGGACTGCGGACTCGGTAAGACCTCCCAGTGCTACGCCTACATCTACTACGCGGCCATGAAGAAACTGGGCATTTAGCAGGAGTACCTAGAGCGGCGCGACGACGCCATTACGTACGGCCGCCCGCTGCCGAAACCCCCTAAAGTCGACTTTCGACCGACCCTAGTCGTAGCGCCGCCGACTACGTTAGACTCGTAGTACACGGAATACCGTAAACATTAGCGCAGCAAGAGTAGCCGTCCGGTCCTCGACCTCCGCATCTTCTACGGTACCGACCGCACTCTAAGCACCGACGTCGAGGAAGACCTTCGCGCCATCATGCTTCCCTCCAACCCCCTAGCCGCGCGGGACGCGATCAAATAGGCTTTCCCGGCCGACGACCTTATGTCCGCCTTCGGTATCGTCTAGGTGGCGTACGAGACGTATATTAAGCGTACCCTAACCAGCATTAAGAAGTCCATCGAAGATAAGTTTCGTGCCACTACCGGCCAACCCGAGAGAGGTAAGTACTACGCCGCCCCCTATATCCTAACGGTCTATAGCATGGATCCATTCGACGCCGCCTCCCCGCGGATCTATTCTAGAGACCATCTACTAACCGCCCCCGCGTCTTCCCTATAGATAATGACTCCATTAATACTCTACCCGGCGACGTTAACGCCACTACCAGTGCGGTACGGTCGCAGTACCTACCCAGCCTTAAGGACATTGCGCTTAAGGACGCCGATTTGAGGCGCATTCGCCGGCTTACTCGCCAGCTCAACGACGATGTCCATTTTAATGAACAGGCTACCGCGGACCTTCCCCTAGAGGAAGATGACGCCGGCTTACGCGAGGAATCGGACGACTGTACGGTGTACACGTCCCTCTTTACCGGCCTCTTCTATCGGGTCGTCTACGACGAAGCCTATAAGGTTAAGAACCCTAAGACGATGAACGCGATCGCCATCGAGAAACTATACGCGCCTAAGAAGTAGTTCATCACCGCTACGCCTATAGTGAACCGGGTGTCGGACCTCCTAAGGTACCTATACCTCCTCTGGAACCCGGCCTAGGAGACGGACCTCCGGGACCTAGACGACTTTATCCTACCTACCTAGGCCGAAAAAATCTACTCGTCCCTAGTCATTACCGACGTTAAGGATAAATATCCCGGGTATATGGCGAAGTACTACGACTAGCCCCTATTCGTACTTAACCCCCGCCTATTCGCCTCGCTCATTAACAACGGTAAGCTAGAGAGTACCACGACCGCGCATAACGTACTCCGCACCATTTTAGGTCTCATCCAGCTCCGCTAGACCATAGCGTCCTAGATCTAGCTGGAAGGCCACGACTACTACTAACCGGGGATTAACGTACCCATATACTACATCACGGGCGTAGAACTGCGACAGCGCGCGTACGAAGAGGACGAGTACAAGAAAGTCTAGTCGACCTTTTCCCGCCACCTTACTAAAGGGGGTGCGGCGGCCGCCAAACCGAGTAAGAAACCGGGCATCGCGCCGTCCGGGCTGCGCGATATGGCCATCTACCGCCACCTCTACCTGACTACCTTCGACGGGCGGATGAATACGCTGATACTCCGTAAGAAGGGCCTAAAGGGTGCGGCGTAGGCGCGCGACTGGACCGAGAATACGGACGACTACGGCTTCACCGAGTACTTTCTGGCTACCCGCCCCTCCCCGACCATCCCTAACTACTGCGACCGGCTGGGCGTGTACGCCTACTAGGCCGGGGAATCCGCGAAGTTGCGGTACCTAGCTAAACACGTATATATGGCGATGTAGGGCGACGAAGCGGGCCACTTCACGGGTAAAGTCGTGTTCATGATGAATTAGCCATATACCCAGTGGGGACCGGACAGTTTCTTACACAACCTAGGGGTGAAATACTATGTCATCTAGCCCAGCACCACGGCGGCGGCGCGCAGCTCGATCCTAGCTAAGTAGAACGACCCGGAGGACGACGTACTCTTCCTATTACTAAACAGCCGGTCGTCCTCGCTCGGCCTTAACATCCAAGGGGCGTGCCATAAGCTCGTGATTTTCGACATGCCCGAGAACATCCCTACCGTAACCTAATCCATCGGCCGCGTCTACCGCCTAGGTTAAGAATACGTCCAGTTCATCTGGACCGTATGCGTATTGGGCACGTACGACTAGTGGCTGTACTCTAACGCTACGGCTAAGATGATGAGCTAACTCGCCGGGGAGGCGCGCATGGAAACGTAGATCTCGACCCTCGACCGCGAGCGGATGTTTACGGCGTCGAACGATATGGACCCGGCCGAGGCCTACTAGGTGGTGAAAGCGGCGCGGGACGACCTGTTTATAGCGCAAGCCGAAGAGTACATTCGCCGCCAGCTGGGTCAGCGCTACAGCCGCCTGCACTGGCGGACGATGGATCTCCACGCGCCTCACACCGCCGCGGCGCTGGCCGACACACCCCATCGCCGCCACTACGCGCACGATCGGCTGTTCACGGCTGCTACGGCCGGCGAACGCAACCCCATCATCACCCTGCCCGGTAAGTCTTGTCTGGACGGTCCGTGGGATGGATCCATTCGGCCGCGCCCCCTGACGGATCCATTCCACGGCCTACCCCCCTTATCCGTGCGCTCGCTAACCCTCCCGGTTTCTCCAGATCGCCCCCCACCTAGTACGCCCTCTCGCACTCGACCCGGCCTCACTAGTACGGTCAACTACTCTGTCGGACTCGATACGCTAGTTAAGCGCGGGGTCACGAGGGACTGGCGGGTGGAGGATGTAGAATACGTCCCCCGGCTGAACCGATTCCGCAGCGCGCGTACGGAGGAGTGGATCGACGAAGTGTCGACGTGGGTCGAACACCTTAATAGCGGCATAATCGTCGACCCCGAGTCTGGCCTCCTGTACCGACCCGACGACGACACGTGGTGGGATAAGACGACGTAGGACCCCGTAGCGCCTCCGGCGATCGTACCTAGGTGGTAATTCAAGTACGGTAACTTAGGGCTCGAAGACATGCGCCGGCGATGCGGCCTCCCCCCGCGCACCGCCCTCGAGGACGACGCCGCCTTAGGTGCCGACGACGACCAGACCGACGATAACGATCCTAACGACGTCGAAGACGGCGAAATTCGCGAGGAAGACGGCGAGAGCGGCGGGCCGACCGATACTACGACCCCGGACGCCCCGATTAAGCTGTTTAGTGAAGGTAGTGAGACTACGGTGGTCGACGGTAGTGTATATGGCGATAAGGATGGCGCGGCCGAGGACGACACGGACGCGGACGAGGCGAAGAAGATTAGTGACAGCCCCGGTACGCCGCACAGCGAGTTAGTCGATCGCGGACGGCCTCTAGTGGCGCTCCCGGAGGACTTGGATACGGACACGGCGTCAGGCGGCGCGAGGAACGAGGGCTAGGGGGCGCTACCCAGCAGCATAGAGGAGATGGTGTATAACTAGGTCGACGGGGTGGAGGATCCATTTATTTAATGGGGGTCGGCGTGAGTATGGAGCATGCACCTTTTAGCATGCCATCTTCAGGATGTACCTTTCAGCATGCCATCTTCAGGATGCACCTTTTAG